ATAAAAAAAAAGTTTTTAAGTTTCCGCGAACAAGAGCGTGTAAAGTTAAAACATACTTTTATTTTAGGCCGCTTAACTGCAGGATTACCGACATGGTTTCCTTTTTAAAATCTGAAAATTATTTGACTACTGATGCTGGAACTGTTTTAAGCGAAAAATTTTCTGGACTCTCATATGAAATCATTAGGAACCAATTTTCCAATCAAAATGTTAAACCAAAATGTCACAGATACAACGATGAAGTAAAAAAATGTTATGTTTTCCTGCTGCCAGTTCAATATCACATTGGACATCATCTGTAAATTGTGATCCCGGTTTATTCCTTGATGTTTTTTTATATCTTGGAGATAAATAGAAAACAGATATTAATTTTAAGCATTGTTCTCAAAAACAGTATAACTTATGACAAAAGTTCAGGTCACTATATTGGTTTTTTTGATATTGGTAAAGATATTTCTGTATATGAACCTGATACTCTAGCTACAGAGACATTAATTTTCATGTTAGTTGATTTGCCAGGACATTGGAAAACACCCTTTGGTTATGTTTTATCAAATAAAGTTAAAGCAATGATTTAACATGTTTCATTAAAAATATTTTAGATGTGGCTTTGACATATGAACTTTGTATCAAAAGTATTACATATGATGGTACAAGTACAAATTTCAATTCCGTTGTCCCATTTGGATGTAAGTTTGGCAAAGTCATAGACAATATAGTTAGTACTTTTTCATATAACAACCAACTGCTCCACATTTTCCTAGACCCAAGCTATATGCTTAAATTAGCTAAAAGTTCTCTAAATGATTTGGGTGTTTTTATTGATGATGAGGGCCGCTATATTAGATGGAGTTATATTAAAGCTTTGTTTGAGTTACAAGAGCTTGAAGGTTTAAAATTTGCAAACAAACAAGAAAACATATATTGAATTTCATCGCCACAAAATGAATGTCAAAATAGCTGGCCAAACCCTTAGCAGCTCTGTTGCTGATGCAATTGAATTTTTAATGGATCACAGCATCCATCTTTTTTAGGAGCAAATAGTACAATCCGTTTTATAAGAGTTATTGATAAATTATTTGACATGCTCAATTCTAGAAATCCAAATGGTAAACACTTTAAGAAACCTTTATATCTAAATAATCAGCTTTATTGGAAAGATTTTTTAAACACTACGATTACTTATCTGAGCAAGTTGACTGATATTAATGGCATTCCATTGCTTTTACATTGAAGAAAGACATTTCCTTTAGGTTTAATTGTAGATGCTAAAAGCACTCTAAAATGATCCACCGATCTGTTAACACTTCATGAGAAACCATTTGAGTATGTTCTAACTTACACATATTCCCAAGATCATCTTGAACTACTATTTGCTTGCATTCGTGGAAAAAATGGTTACAACAACAATCCTGATGTAGTGCAGTTAAAATCATTGTTAAAACGGATTCTTCTGCAAAACTCCATAGTTGGATCGAGTCATGCTAACTGTCTAATTTTTGAGCCACATTCTAATGGCTCTATTTTTTCTCTTAGTTGGAAAAAAAGGTTGTGTTCTGTTGATAATTTTGACCAAGAGGATATTGACTTTTTGGAGTTTTTTTGTACTGCGATGAACTTCAAATGTCTAGCTACAAAGAAGCAATATTGGGATATATCTCTGGTTTTATAGTCAGAAAGTTGATAAATACTATTTCATGTAATGTTTATGCTCAATCATTAACTGATATTTTATCATACGAACATTCCTATGGGAAATCTCATTCTTCATTAAATAATGTGGTGATCGTGGTGGTTTGTTTTTGCCATCAAGGGATGTTATTTCTATTGTCGAGTCGTGTGAGAAAGTTTTTAAGTTCTTTATTAGTGATAAAGATTTTAAAAATCTGAAAATAATCTCATATTAAAATATAAGGCATAAAATGATCCATTGTGTTAACAAATTAATTATTAAAAAAAAAGCCTTTAAAGGACTTGATAGCTACGACATATAATTGTGGACTGAAAATGAAGATTTGCATTGCAGCCAGCTTGTTAAAAAGATTTGTGAATATTACTTTAGAATTCGAATGTTCAGATATGCCCAGGACTATACCGCTAAAGTTCTAAGAAAGTCGTTTTAAATTGGTTTAAGACAACAAACAAATAAATTAATATTGTTTATGGGTTTATGAATATTTCATTTTATTGTATAAAACTTTTATTAAAATAATAAAATATATTATACGATGTTATAATATGATGTTCTAAATGCGAATATGTTTTTAAGTATATATTTTTGTGGCTATAAAAATAGCCGTTTGTTTTAGTTTGTTATAACAAACTTAACATGCTAACGTTAGCATGTTCAATCTTTGACCAACAAATATGTATGTATTGACTGTATGCTCACTAAATTGGTTGTCTGTGATTCTAATCATCTTTAATTCCAAGAATAAGGACGGTAAAATTGCCAATATCTTTTCATATGAATGTGATCGCTAAAAGCTTTTTGCCCGATATAATTATGGCTTCCAACAATGGCGTACTTTATAACTTTGTAATAAAGTTCTTTATTACTTTGTAATAAAGTACTTTATTACAAAGTAATAAAGTACGCCATGCTTCCAACGCATTAAATTGGCTTCACTAAAAACGGCTAAGTTAAATATCTAGTTATTTCTTTACATCATTGGTGCTTCTTCGTCGTCAAGTTTTGCTTTTTTCACCACTTTTGTAACGGTTTTTACTACTTTGCTATATTCTGCTCTAATAAGTTGGTGTGATCCAGGTCCTGCTGACACATATTTACCTAAGAGTTTACTCTTTTTTTTTTACAGCTTCTATAACCTCACAAGTAACCTATAGGTTTTTATTTGGCTGGTATGGTTTTGTTGTGCTCGGTATGTGGACTTTGGGTCTTTAACACGTGAATTTCCAAAGGTTGGGAAAGTGACAGTTGCGTAAGATGGTTTTCCTCTGAACAAGAGTTGAACTGAATGACAGGTAAGCTGTTGATCAGTATGTTGACTACTGTTGAAACACCTCCTCCAACGCCAATACTTTCATAGCCAATGTGCCAAAAATTAAAGTCACCATAGAGTAATAAGGAGTCGCAATTGATTGTTTTGAGGGCCTCTGTGGCAGTCTGAATTGATTTGGTAACTTCTAGGAGTTCTAGTTCATCTTTATTTAATGGTCGGTAGATACACTAAAAAGAGTGATTCTTTTTTATTAGTTATTAAAGTTTTAGATTTTATAGTTTATACTAAAAAAAATTTTTATTGAGAATATTAATTTTCTTAAAAGACATTTTAAGAAATTTATTTAAATTCAAATAAAATTGTTTGAATTTATTTGAACATAAAATATTTTACATATTTTATGTTTAAAGTAAAATTTAGTTAATTTCATAAAAGATTTTATATTCAAATATTTAATAATATATTTGTAGTTTGTATTTATTTGAGACAAGTATTTCAAAATTTGATCGTTCTTAAGTTGCTGTATTGCTCTTTTTACATGAATACGAATAGCAGCAATTTTTCTAATTTTTTATTTTCAAGGCTAAATTGAACTTTTTCATTTAGCAGAGGTAGTTTAACGGAATTCCGATTAATTCTTTTCCTGTATTTTTATGTTTATAATTAGAAAAAACTTGCAAACTAAATTTGAAAATATGTAGGCATTTTAATAAATGGTTGAGTGCAGTCTAAAACTACCATCGCTAATTTGTATTTTTTTAGATTAGGGCATTGTTTCTCTTGCGATTTTATTTTTTCATATTGATAGCATTTGAAAATGCAAAAATCAGTTCATGTCAATTTAATTCTGCTAACGTGACTTGAGGATATTTCAAAGTGTAATGCCATGCCTTCCAGTGACAGATCCAACATTTTTTTAGTGTTTAAGATAGCTAACTTCCAGACATGGAGCAAACTCTTGCAAAAATTTGTATAAAAATACAAGTTTTTGCAAAAGCAAAAATTTGTGTGTTTATACTTATGTTAAATAATAATGCTTTGCAAAAAATCGCGATGATTGGAGGCTGAGAACAAAAAAGCCTTAACATTTCATCCTTCCCCCCCCCCCTCACCCCAAACGTGAGGAGAACAAGTTGATAAAATATTTTTTGTACTATTCTTAACTAGACTTATATATATCCAAAAATTTTAAGTTTCATAGAATTATCTCTCAGCGTTCAAAAATATGACCATATAAAGTTTAAACCCCACTAAAATTGAGGAGGTTACAAATTTTTTGTTCCCAGCCTCCAATCATCGCAATTTTTTGCAAAGCACCATTATTTGACATAAGTATATACATACAAATGGTTGAAGTTTCCTTCCATGTCTAGAAGTTAACAATCTTAAACACCAAAAAATTCTGGATCCTTCACTGATGCCTTCTAATAGATTAAGTCAAAACCTTGTAAATACTAAAAATAATTCTGATTATACAATATCTTTGTATTTTATTGTAGTTAAAATCAGTTGTTTTTTCACTGTGACTCTCAATATTTAAGTTTGCTTTGCAGTAGATTCTAAATATTTTAGCTGAACATTATAAAGGTCATATGGTTTAAAGCCAGTTAAATTTTAAAGTGCATTTGATTATGTTTAAATCAGTTTAGTGTAAACTTTGACTGTGTTTTTAAAACTTTACTTCACTTTCTCAAGATAAATAAAAGTTATATATGTAAATGGTTGCTAATTATTACATAAATAAGAATAAAAATAAAATAAAAAAAACTTTAGAAACAACGCGACAGTTATAATCTCAAAACATGACGCGCCATATTAGCGCGCATCAAGAATATTCCAAGTTTCATAAATTAACTTTAACAAAATCAACAGGTTTGCGTGTAGTAAAACTGATCAAAACAAATATCCATGAGAAGGCTAGTATATGCTAATGTTCTTTAAAAGCTAAGAAACTTAATAAGGTTTTAAATATATTTTATTAAAAAAAAAGAAAACACGCGAAAAAACAATTATTTATTATTTACAAAAAGCTATGGATAAATAAATAAACCTTTTTTATACAAAAAAAAAATTACAAATTTTCATAATCTATTAGCTCTATTGTTTCTTGGTCAGAAGTTATATTTAAACTTTCCGTCAGATTAAATTCACGAGACGATACATCACCAGAAGAGTTTGCCTCAAATAATTAGTTAAATTTGTAATTAATATATAAATTAGAGATAATTAGAATAAGATAATTCAACTAAATTTGAATATAATAGAAGTTTTTAATAATTATAAAAAGATTATATATATATATATATATATATATATATATATATATATATATATATATATATATATATATATATATATATATATATAAAATAAAAAAATCTATAGAAATATAAATTTAGGTGAAAGCAACATGATAACATAACAATTTTATCTGGTAGAGAAATAAAATTAAAAAAAAACAATTTGTTACCATATAAGTTTCTTTATTGGAATGTATAAAAGAATTAGTTTCTCGCTGAGTATTAAAAATATGTGGCATACAAGCAACGGAATCATGCTGCCCCAACGCAGACATCTGATGCGTTATTAAATTAATACTAGGATTGTCTTCAACATTTACAGATACAATGAGTGGAACTTAATAAATTTTAATACATAGTATATTGTAAATATTATGGTAAAAAAATTTAAATTTACCAAATCTCATTTGCATACCTCCACAATAAGATCCTTGAATTGTAGTCATGCGCCAAACTGATTCATACTGTCCTGATTGAGCAGGAGCTGTCATTAAAATACTAATTTCTGTTACATCTTCAGGATCAATATTTGGAATTGGGCACTGAGTAGCATGTTCAAAATTATGACCTTTTACATGCCTTAACTTTAAATTTAATGGCCATTTTTCATCTCCTATAAACATTATAAATATTTTAAACAATCAAGTACTATAGCGGTAATAAATAGTTTTTTTTTATTTAAACCATGCATCATTTTGCAATAAACAGCATCATGTAATGAACATCATGCAGATTTTATTAAATAATTCACAAAAATGAAAAAGTTAAATTAAAGAAGTTTCATTAAAATAAATAACTATATTTTTTACAAAAAAACTTTTTAAAAGTTATTTTAAAAAAGAATAAATATCTACGAGCATTGCTATTGAAACATGTAAGAATATTAGATTTTTGCTGCATTCTAATCAGTAAACAATACATTTCTATATTTAGTTTATATCAATAAGTCGGGGTTCTTCTCAAGTCTCAGGTCTGGTCTTCATTCCATTTTTTTTTAGCTTCACCTCTTTTACACACAAGATAAACTTAATTACATGCTTAATACAGAGCTTTTAAAATAATAAATAATAATGCTAAACTTAGATAAGTAAACTCTGATATAAGTGACTTTCTTACATAAGAAACATGTATCTGCCTTGGATTATACTAGCAAACTTTTGTATGATTTTTATATGTAATTAAACTAACCTATATATTAATGTTGATCTTTATTAACAACTTTACTTTGTATTTCTTATCTATTTATCTATTATTTGTAGCAATGTTGCAAGATGGCAAAATCAATTAAGCCCAAAACTCAAAATACTGATAAGGTCTGGTTAATCCATTATCCGACGCAAAAACGAAATAATGAAGTTTGAATTTCACATAAGCAAACTTGTAGCTGAGATAAAAAACTGTTACCAGACATGATTAGAGTCAAAACTAAATAAAATGGTTAAAGGCTTCAAATATTGATAGTTTTAAATGGCTAAAGTAATCTATAAAACGATTAAAATGATACATTCAACGCAACAATAAAACAATTTAACAGATACATTGCAAACGTCAACTGGAAATTTTGCTTTTCAAACAAAAGTTTATTAAAGCGGTTTTCAATGGCTCACCCGAACATTGAGCAGTTATGATCATGTGAAGAAGTCACTATGATACAGAGTTTCAATGCAAGCGTCATGTAATGATTGTTACGCAAAACAATTCAGAATAGCAATTAGCGATTGCAAAACATGCAATTCCCTTTTGCGAATTGCACAAATACTGATAACGAAAGTATTCCCATGAGAGAATTTCGCACGAGGAATTCTCGCTTAAAAGCCAGTGCGCTGAATTTAATAACATTGAAGTTTCGACGCGAAACTATACAGAGTTTTATATTTAAACTAGTTGTGATAATGTAATATGAAAATATTGAAATAAATATTAAATAAAAATCATAGTCAAATTCTCTTTATAATAAATATAAAGACAAAACATTACATGGTACCAGAAGTGAACTGAAGACATTTTAAGAAGAGATTTTGGAAAAGTACTTACTTTAAAAAGGAAAAGAAAATAGAACACTTTTTGCCAAAGCCAAACAAAATGGACTTCAATGAATCCAATATAGCTGTTACATAGAAAAAACGGAAACAAACTATGCAGTTGTATCTAAAAGCAGCAATGACAAATTAATCTGAGGAAAAAAAATACGCGACATTCTTATTTGTGATCGGTGAAAAATGAAGAGAAATATTCAATACATGGACTTGGAACAAAACAGAAAATGACGACGGTGAAATCGATGACATCACGGTAAAAGAACTTTTTGAAAGATTCGAAGAATATTGTTTACCGAAAAGAAATCTGGTTTTGGAACTAAGAAAGTTTTTCTTACAAAAACAAGACGTCAATGAATCATTTGATTTCTTTGTAACTGATTTAAAAAATCTGGCTCAAACATGCGAGTTTGAAAACATTCAAGATGGTCTGATATTATACAAAATAATTGAATTAAATCAAACAAAGTCCAAAATAATCTACTTAGAAAAGGAGCGGATTTAACTTTAACTAAAGCGATTGACATATGCAGAGCTGAAGAAATTGCAAATTCAGAAATGAAACAAGTTACATACGAAAAAGATATTGACGTGGTAAAGAAATTCATAAAACCGAGACAAGCAAATGCGTCAATAGGACAAATACCAAAATGAAGAAAGTTCTTGAATAACGAAAATGAGTTAAAAGGCAAAGACCGGGTTGAAACTATACAGAGTTTTTATTTAAACTAGTTGTGATAATTTAATACAAAAATATTGAAATAAATATTAAATAAAAATCATAGTCGAATTCTCTTTATAATAAATATAAAGACAAAACATTACACGTCACAAAGAATAAGGTGGAAAAACTGTATGGTGTGGTCTTATAAAACTTGGTTAATTTGAAGAAAAATACCCAAACAGTTTCATTAAAAAGCTTTCCAACTCAGTTAACTAATTCGATTATTTTTATTAAAAATCACAAAAACAACTACTAATTATTTTTATTAAAAATCACAAAAACAACTAAAAAAATTTTTTATCATTGGCATCTCAGAAGTTTCAGTTTTTAAGATTTTTTGTGCAAAAAATAAAAATTATGTCTTAAATAATTTGCAGAAGGAGAGTGTAAAAAGTTTTGACCACAATGAATAACAAAGCATTTCAAAATGTTCAACTTAAATAACCAAGTGTTTGACCACTCGTATACCAAGCGTAGACAATCCTGCAGATCAACAAGTTTTAGAAAAAAAAATTTTTATCATTGGCAAAGATCTCAGAAGTTTCAGTTTTTAAGATTTTTTGTGCAAAAAATAAAAATTATGTCTTAAATAATTTGCAGAAGGAAAGTGTAAAAAGTTTTGACCACAATGAATAACAAAGCATTTCAAAATGTTCAATATAAATAACCAAGTGTTTGACCACTCGTATACCAAGCGTAGACAATCCTGCAGATCAACAAGTTTTAGAAAAAAAAATTTTTATCATTGGCAAAGATCTCAGAAGTTTCAGTTTTTAAGATTTTTTGTGCAAAAAATAAAAATTATGTCTTAAATAATTTGCAGAAGGAAAGTGTAAAAAGTTTTGACCACAATGAATAACAAAGCATTTCAAAATGTTCAACTTAAATAACCAAGTGTTTGACCACTCGTATACCAAGCGTAGACAATCCTGCAGATCAACAAGTTTTAGAAAAAAAAATTTTTATCATTGGCAAAGATCTCAGAAGTTTCAGTTTTTAAGATTTTTTGTGCAAAAAAAAAAAAAAACGTGGACTAAGAACTTGAGAACGCCACTAAGAACAGAAACACAAACGTCACAAAGAATAAGGTGAAAAAATGGTGGATATTCAGAGCTTATTACTTCACTTATGTTTTTATAAGTGAAGTAATTAGCATATAATGAACATAATATGTTCAATACAATCTATTAAACACATTATGCTCTTTACAATGTGTTTAATAGATTGTATTGAACATATTATGCTGAGGATATTAAGTTATTGAAAGTCTGCTTGAGGAATTGGAGGATTGGACTATTGAGGATTTTTTTCTTAAATGTAAAGATCAAATTATTAAAATTAGGTCAAATGTTTGAAAGACCTTTTGGGAAATTATTATAATTTGGTAAAAAATATATTTGAAGCATATGATAGTAGAATAGAAAAATTAGACAGAATTAAGATACAATTGACAGAACTAAAGGAGTCAGCCACGGCCTACTATATTATATAAAAAAACTATATATTTAACATACACGGCCGTGTAACATAGTAGGCCATGAGTCAGCACTATAAAACACTGAGTGGTTATGTAGTGTAATCTAATGGATGAAAAAATTGGGATAAGAATACTGGTGTAGATAAATTTTAATCTACACAACAATGAGTAATAAGTTAGATAGTCCAACAATTTATAAAAACAAGCAGCCTGAATTATTTCGGAAAATGTTGGGCACCAAAACTCCATTTTGGGGCCTCCCCACCAGAAAAGTAAAGTGGCCCTCCTTAAATTTTTTCTCCCACTTTAAATTTTTTAACAGTTTACTAATTTTTAGACGTCAACTAAAAGTTTTTTCAACGTTTAGAAATTCTAAACGTTCTAAATTAGAATGTAACTTTTTTAAAAAAATGCCTGAAGGGATACGGGAAAAATTATAAATTCATAAAATGTATTTGATAAAACAGTAATTAGTAACACTCATATTATTATTACCAGTCAAATTATTCATGAGTGAAATTTGTAAATCTCCATATGGCCCTCTAAGCTCCGCCCCCCCATCTTGCGGGGTTATGTTCCCCCTAGTTACGCCACTGATTCAATAATATTTTGAAATCAAAAGTTAATTTATTTAACCATGGCTAAAAAAAAAAAAAATTAATTTCATAAATTTGCAAATGAAGTAATATAATTAGTTTTGCAAGTTTTAAAAATACTTCAATCAAGAAGAAAGAGTGAAAGAGAGAGAGAAAGAAAAAATAGAAGTTAAAAAATATATATATTAAGTTTTTAGACATTCTTATGGAAGCTCCACAATATACCATATAAAAAAAAATCTCAAAAAGAATTAAAAAGAAGTCAACAAGAACTTCCATTACTGTTCACATACATAAAAAGCAAAATGGATTTACAAAGATTTTGTTTAAACTTTACAAGCTTATCTACATGAGCAAACCTTTTAAAGTCTTTTTTTAAATGCAAAACATCAACTTTGAGTCAATAAATTTTCTTTGGCATCTAGTTGATGCTCGAGAAACCAATTACAAATATTTTAAAGATTTTTATGATGGGATGATAAAAAAATATTTGCTGCAATAAATTTGATAGATTTTGGTTTCCAAAAATTTAGTGTTAGCAGAAAAACAAATAGAGAGTAGTTCATCTAAAAAAAGTGTGGCAGTTATATATAGCCTTAGTGCAAATCTTTTAAACAAAGATTGTAGGTAAAAAAGTAAACGATTGTTTTTAGACAAATAATTAAAACAAACTATTGTTCTCAATGAAAATCTTTTTACTTCAATGAATTCATGTTTTGTTTTTTGTAATTCACTTTCTCAAGGCTGAGAAGGCCACTACAGATGAGAGGCTAATTAATAATGTTATAACTCTCTCTCAACACGAACTTTGACAAACAAGGCTGCTGCACAGTGAAACAAGTTGAGCACAGTACTACCAGGGACATGGTGGGGATCGAACTCAGAACCTCTCACTTATGAAGCCAGCGTTTTACCACTACACCACTGCTGCGTAATTCTAGCTCTATATCATTTACATAACTTTCTTAGGCAAAAAAACATATCTAATTAGACAAAACTATTGATTTTTCTAAAGCTGTTTAGTTTTTTATAAAGCTGTTTAGCTGTTTAGATTTTTTACCATGGATAGGATAAAATTTTATTGTTGAAATTTTTTTACTTACCAAATACTGTTGCCCAAATGTTAAAGTTCTGATTTTAAAGCACTAGATTCAATCTTTATTTAATAATTTGATGAAAAATCAGTCACTGCTGAGTGGATTTAGAATACTTAGTTTTGGGTACATATTATTGAGGTGAAAAATATTCATTTTAGCCATGTATTTTCAATGTTTCATAAGTTTATATTTGAAAATTCTGTCTAAGCAGTAACATAAACTACAATTTGTTTTATTGGTGTATGGAAAAGCGTATTTCACGAATTCCACAAGCAAAATTCATATAAAAATGACTCCACCTGATTTTAGACACGAATCAAAGAGTGTTATTCATATAACCAAGAGTGTTATTCATATAACAAAGAGTGTTATTCATATAACAAAGAGTGTTATTCATATAACAAAGAGTGTTATATGGCATTTACAAATGCTAGATATTTTTACTTTTGAAGAAAACATGACAAAATAAGAGGAAGTAAAGAAATACGTGTGAAATGTGAAAAATTTCAATATTCTTTGAAATATGAAAAATCTACAATACATTGGAATATATTGATTTAATCATTAAAAATGTACAAGTAATTTGTTGTTTTGGACAAAATTGAAAATATCAACTAAAAATGTAATAATCATTAATAAAGTCATAGTTCCTGCATCATCAATCGATTGTAGCATGTATTTTTTTAAAAGTTAATTTTAAAATACTCTGTTGAAGTTAATAAGCTAAAACATGTTTTAAAAGTTTTAAATACCTGGCTCAGTTAATAAACCTTTACTGCAATAGTTTTAATATTTTTAATTCTGATATAATTCTAAATACCATTATAGCCTACTCAAATGACAAATAAAATCAAAAGAGGAAACTCAAAAATGAACAAATGAATTTACTAGTCATCAAATTACCAAACAGTTTCAAAACAAAAATGATATCAAATAAAAGTGCAAAAAAAAAAAAAAAAAAGAAAGAATTACCTGCGCAGAACATAGAAAACTATTAGTCAATAAAAATCTAAATATTAGAAAAGAGAAACATTTAGATTTTCAGTTGTGGAAAAACGAAAAAAAAAACCCTTTAAAACAAGAACATTTTAAAGAGAAATGAAAAAGGTTGAAAAAACAGAAACAAGACAAAATAGTTTGAATTAAAAAAATACCATTTCGCAAATTGATTTTGTATACAAATATTAGATGCAAACTACCAACTTAATGAACATTCAAAATATCATTCAAAATATTGACTTTAGTTTTGTTTTGACTTAACCAATGTAGTAAGACTTGTTTACCTTTATTTTGTATTTTCCATCTTTTTGAAAATTCTTGATTGGGTGCGACGCTATTAAGCCCAGTATGATCAGACTCTTCAAGGACAATAAATGAAGGCAAGGTTTGAGTACTAAACACATCATAGTATGCGCATAAAGCAGCCTACAATTGTAATACAATACAAATGCAAGCAACAGATGAAAGAAAAAATTATATTTATAGAAGTAGAAACTTATTTCAAATCACAGAAAAATTACTTACCTAAAAGAATCATTAAAACAGTCAAAAAATATTTCATTAAACTAATTATGCAATAACAAACATATTGCTATCAAAAACAAGTAAAAATTAATAATTAACAAAATAACTAAATTTTTAAAGATTAATTTTAGAATTTATTGTTTTTATTTAATTAAAAAAACTTAATTTTTTTCTTTACTTTTTGCAATCCTAATTAAAGAAAGATGTGCAGTAAATAATATTGAAAACATGCAAAAGTAAATGGTAATGTTGAAAAAACAATGAATGAGTTGTTTAAGTTTACTCTTTTGGTATTTATTGAAATATTTCTTTTTTATTAAAAGTAATAACATTAATTTTACTTTCTAAAAGTATTTTTAAAATTAATTCACTGAATATAACTAAATCACATTGAGTGATTAGTTATAATAAATTTTAACCTTGAAGTCAGTCAGAAGAAAAATTAATATTTATCATGTCACTGATAGTTACACATTGATAATACTTATTAAAGTTAAAAAAATAATTTTTTTTTAAAAATTACACTTCCCTCATTCAATAACTTTCAATAATTGAAAAACAATGATACCTGTAGATTCCTAAATTATAAGAAAAGTTTCTATCAGACAATGCATAATATTTTGTTTAAATAAAAAAATAAGTACTATGATTATATATATATATATATATATATATATATATATATATATATATATATATATTTATATATATAAATCTTCTAATTTTCAAAACCATTTTTTTAAAACCATTGTATCACCTATTGAAACCTATAACAACCGACTAGCCAAATTTCTTAGAGATTTATTATCTTCATTAACACTGAATTTTGTACAAAAGATTCATTTTCCTTTGATAAAGAAATTATTCAAGTCAATCTCCACAAATATTTTTTAGTATCATACACTGTAACGAGCTTTTACATCAATGTTCCGCTTCAAGAAACCATTGAAATTGCAGTCAGTTTAATTTTTCTCCGTAACAAAAACAATAAAATTACTAAAACTGATTTAAAAAAACTGTTCCAATTTGCCACTTCGCAAACACATTTTCTTTTAAAGGACAAACTTATGATCAAATCAATGGTGTAGCAATGGGTTCTCCACTGGCACCTGTTCTTGCCAATTTGTTCATGGGTCATTTTGAAAATAAATGGATCGAAAATTTCAATGAAAACCAGTTTTCTATAAAAGATATGTTGATGACATTTGTGCTGCTTTCCAGTCAGAAAATGACGCACATCTTTTTTTTAGATATATAAATAGTAGACACAACTGTATTTCTTTTATTTTGGAATAAGAAGTAAATTCAAAAATATATTTTTTGACGTAACTCTACACAAAACTAATTCTTCAGTTACCACTCCTATTTTTCATAAAAAAACCTATTCTGGTCTTCACACTAATTTTTATAGTTTCACTCTATTTTTGTCCAGAGTTAGTCTAATCAAATGCTTAATCAATAGAACGTTTCAAATTATTAGTACTAAACTTGGGTTTCACTCTGACATAAACGATCTTTTTAAAGTATTTCAAAGAAACATGGCTCATTTCAAAAATATATAACTCCTATTTAAACAAGATTAACTTAAATCCTCCACCAAAACCAAAAATCAAAGAATCTTTGTTTTATTTTAAACTACAGTTTTTGGGAAAAATATCTGATTCAACTGAAAAAAGACTGAATTCAATTGCTAAAAGATATTGCAGTTCAGCAAATAATAAATTAGTATTTACCTCACTGAAAATTTCTAAATTCTTTTCTTCTTAAGATCCTATTCCTCTTGAGTTCAAATCATTTGTGGTGCGTAAATTTGTATGTGCAGGATGTAACTCCTGTTATGTAGGCGAAACTACTCGCTATCTCAAGATCCGGATATCTGAATATTACAAGAGAGACAAAAAGTCTCCCATATACAAACATGTCCATGCTAATGAAAATTGTTTCATGCAAATAAATGATAAGAGTTTTTCTGTGTTTTTTTGTGTTTTTTTGTGATTCAACATATAACAAATTTGAGCTAAAACTTAAAAAAAGTATGATTTATAGAATGGTTAAAACCTGGTATGAATAAACTAACCATGTACAAATGACAACTTTTTTTTATACATATTGCATACTTTTTAACCTATTCTTTTGTCATTTCCTATTTCTTTTGTATGACATGATAAACTTTTTCACTTATTTTATTGTATTTTTGTAATTATATTATTATTAGTTTGTACAAGAATAATTATATTTCGTATTGTTTTTTCTATAGGTATTTTAACAAATTTTAAATATTTAATTTTAACTGAAGATAGTAGTGTTAGTCGAAACAAGTATTGTTTTTTATTAAAAAAATGGTTTTGAAAGTTATAAAATTTGTCTTGTTTATGAATATATATATATATATATATATATATATATATATATATATATATATATATATATATATATATATATATATATATATATATATATATATATATATATATATATAAATATATATATATATATATATATATATATATATATATATATATATATATATATATATATATATATATATACACTTAAAATCATAAAACCTATATACATATATATAAAACTTATGTGTGTGTGAGCATGCGTTTATATTATGTGTGTGAACAACCTAATAGCTGACCTAAAAGTGTCTGAGGTTGGCAATATTTTGCCGACCTTATTTTTCTAATTCTATAGACAGGGTAAAGTGATTGCTTTATGAACAAAAGCTAAAAGGTTTGGAAATAATTGGAATTAATCATTTAACTTATTATTTAATTTAAAACGTTTAATTAAATAATAGATAAATTATTAATTTAGAACAACTTTGATCTCTTTATAATGTTTTTATAAAATTAAGATTTTAAATAAAGTAACAACTAACTTTTAAGGATCATTACATAAGGAAACAATTTTTTTTCAATTTTTAAACAACTTATACAACTTTAAGAATTCCTTTAACTTATGTTTTTATTGACAAGTTTCTAAAAAATATGGTTATGTTTTGAACATGTGATTAATAAAAAAAGTTCATTGAAAACGAAATTGTTGTTTTAAGTCTTGTTTATAAAATCAATCATAGATTGCTTTAAAAGATTTACATTTATCATAAAAAATATGTGAATTCACTTTTTTGCAAATCTAAATCTTAAAAACTACTTTCAAAAAAAACTATAATAAACGCATGATATCAACAAACGAGACACCAAAGAAGAGACCAAAAGAGGCCTTAATACTAATTTCAATCATATTTGAAATTTTTTTGAACTGTATTTTGATTTTTTTGTTGTAGCTTTTTTATTAAATTTTGATTAAACCAAAGAATATTATGTTTTCCCCAAAAATTTGAAGATATTTTGTTATTGATACTCTATTAAATACTTTATTTGTAATTTTAGACTTATAAGATGTAATCTTTTTAAGAGTATTATTACTGTTATTGCATACTGTGTGGGTGTGTATATATATATATATATATATATATATATATATATATATATATATATATATATATATATATATATATATATATATATATATATATATATATATACAGTCAGCAAAATTCAGGTCAGCATTCGGCAATGCCGACGCAAAAAGCTGACCTATTTTTGCTTTAGGATGGCATAGAACTGCAGACCTGAATTTCCTAAAGTGTCGGCATGCAAATTTAAATTTATAATATTCGTTAAATATTATTTTGTAAATTTTAATATTGTAATTACTTGTTTTTCAAGTTTGACATGTTTTATTAAAATAATAATTCGTTAATTTTTTTTCAACTCATTTTTCTTTTTTTTCCTAAATTTATTCAAGCATAGCAAAGGTTAAAAAATATTACTTTTTAAATGGCTGATGTTCTCACGCTTTTTACCCTTTTTACGCTTTTTAAGTTTTAATATTGTAATTACTTGCTTTTCAAGTTTGACATTTTATTAAAATAATAATTCATTAATTTTTTTTTCAATTCATTTTTTCTTTTTTTCCCAAATTTATTTAAGCATAGCAAAGGTTAAAAAATATTACTTTTTAACACGCTGATGTTCTCGCACAATTATTATTTTATTAAGTTATAAAATCTAATTTTAATTTATTTTATTAGTTCAAACCATTTAACTAATAACCATTTAACTAAAAAAATAATTCATTTACATGATTATGGTTTTTTTAAATATTTTTTAAGATCAGAAAGTATATTAGGAAACTTTAGCCTTAGTATAGTTATGTTAAACACATGCGGAGAAGAAACATTAGTTACAAAACTTTTTTTTAATTTAATTTAAATTTAAATTAAGGCTTCCATTAAATCGCAACAGACGCAACAGTAATACAGTAAGCAAATTCAAAACAAGTCATAATGCCTAACAGAACTTACATTTAAAAATGGGGCTTTTAATACTGCGAATTTCAAACTGATGATTCAGGTAAAGTAATTTTAATATGGTGTAAATGGAAGTAATTAAACCACGAACCATAAATTAAAAGACTAGAATGTTTTTAAAAACATTCTAAATGTTTTTAAAAAAATTCTGAATGTTTTTATTTTATTTTATTTTTAAATAAAAACATTCTGAATGTTTTTTTTATTTATTTTTTAACTGTAAAACATGCATGGAGTGTTGCTACATCAACTATCTTATAGCCTGACTCGCAACAGAGTGCTGCTACATCAACTGACAAATAGGCTGACTCACAATGGAGTGCTGCTACATCGACTGAGGGTTTGGTTTGGGCAGGCAGTCTATCAAATAATTAAAAAAAAAAAGTTTTCTGGTCTTTAAAATAAAAATAAAAACTTAAAGATGACATTTAATGATAAAAACTTAAAGACAACCATGCAAGAGTATGTATGTATGTATGTATATATGTATGTATGTATGTATGTATGTATGTATGTATGTATGTATGTATGTATGTATGTATGTATGTATGTATGTATGTATGTATGTATGTGTATATATATATATATATATATATATATATATATATATATATATATATATATATATATATATATATATATATATATATATATATATATATATATATATATACACACACACACACATACACATATACAGTAGCGACCTAAAGATTAAGAACAGTCACTGCTACCAATTTTGCTATAAACTTTGAACGACGCTTCAATATTCTTGAAAATAAAAACATTTTTTCAAAATAACATTTATTAATGTAATTTAAAAAAATAATAATTTCTTTGCAATTCGTAAGTGTATGAACACTTGCAGTTTTATTAATTAAAATTTATGTTTTTAAAAAATTTAATTTAATTTCAAAACACCAGTACTTTGTTGGATAACCTTTAGAGCCAACAACAGGCTGGCAATGAAAACAGTCTAGCAATGACTTAGCATTGAGTTTACCAGCTTAACTATAACATCTAATGGAATTTTCTAACATTCTCATTCAATTAAAGTAAATAAATCATTCTTATTTGTTGGTTTCGAACCTTTTAATTGACGATTTAGGTGTTCCTATAAGTGCTCAATTGAATTAAGATCAGGACATTGTAAAGACCACTTGAAAATAATTTTTTTTTTTTTGATGTCAAAGA